CACATACACATACCCCCCCCCGCGATCGATAGCCCCTGCGACAAGAACCCGAAGCCACGCGGGGGGCAGCATGTCGGGCCGGCTTCTTTCGGCTCCTGCGGCTGCTGCCTCTGCCGTTACCTGATGACTTTGGATTTCCACTCTTAACGCCTCCTGCAAGCTGTGCAGCTCCATCCTTTCAACTTGCCAGACACTTTTGCTCCCACTTGCGAATAATCCCGGGGAAGTTTAGGGGGCTTTGGGGGCCCCCCTTGGCAACCGCCGCCGCCACCACCAGAACAACAACCACCCTGACAAAACAAAACGGGACATCCACCAGGAAAAAAAAAAGAGTTTTTTTAAAAAGCGACAACAACAATCGAAAGAAACAACTACTCGGGCTGCAAAGCAAGTTCTTTGCCTCTTTGCTGGGGACACAGACAAATCACTCACTTTCCGCCAAACTAGGGGGGAAGGCTCCCCCCCGCCGACCCCCAGTCAACCGACCCCATGGGCCCCTAGGCGGCCCCCTGCCCCTCCCAGGACCCGGCCAGTCCCCTCGGGGAGCCCGGTCGCCCCTCCAACGGGGACCAAAGAGACTTAAAAACGGCAGGGACTATATTTCCTCCGAGTGCGCGCCTTGATTTCACTTTGCCTCGGGAAAAAGTTGTGCCACGGCTGTCAATGCTAATTCGGAGTTGCCCGGATGCAGCAAGGGCGGGAGGGGGAGGGAAAGGCTCCTTCTCGGGAGCATGCGCGCTCGGAGGCAGCGGCGGAGCGGGGAGAACAAGGGAGCGCGGCCAGAGAACTTGGGAAGAGCTGGGGCTGGGGACGCGACTAGAGCAGGCCGGGCCCGCCTTTCCAAAAGGGTGGGGGATATCGCCGGACCGGTCGGCGGGGGGGTGGGGGAAGAAGGGGCTCACTCAGCCTGGAGTTGCCACCCTCCCAGATCGACTGATCTCCAGACCACAGAGAGAACAGGTCCCTTGGACGACATGGCAGCTTTGGAGGAGGATGGACTCCACAGCATCACCTCCCTGCGGAGCTCGCGCCTTTCGTCCCACGGCAGCCTCCACCGGCACAGCCCCCCAATCTCCAGGAATTTCCCAAGCCAGAGTTGGCAACTTTAGCTCCACTCTCTGGCAGGGGTAATGGCAGCAATGGCTGAGCGGGCAGAGGCTTTCCCACATCCAACCCCCCACCCACACACACAAACACTTTTCCAAATAGGAAGGAGAAATGAGGTAAGGGGGCGGGGACACATCACCCTCCCTGACAGCTGGAGCACCCAGGGGCAGTCAGTGCATGCAGCTGGGCCAAGGTCCCCGTCTCTCTGCCCCTCAGGCGATATGTTCTCCAGTAGAATGGCAGTTCATAGAGAGTTCTGTTGAGTTCAGTGGCCTCCAATGTGCGTGTGACTACATTTAATTTCAGAAGAGGAAATTTCTGGAAATTGAGGCCATTAGTACAAAAGGAAGCTGAAAGAAAGCCTAAAGAGAGTCTGATCCCTTCAGGGTGCTTGGAAATGTTTACAATGCGCAATAACAGAAGCTCGGATTGGATATAGATGAAGATGGGTAGCCGTGTTAGTAGACAAGAGCAAGAGTCCAGGAGCACCTTAAGAACTGAACAGAATTTGTGGCAGGGTAGGAGCTTGTTAAGGAGCTGCGGTGGCTCAAGTGGTTAAGACGCTGAACTGCAGGCTGTGGAAGGTCGGTAGTTCAGCAGTTTGAGACCTGAGTTGCCGCATGACGGAGTGAGCTCCCGTCTCTAGTTCCAGCTCCTGCCAACCTAGCAGTTCGAAAGCAAGAAATTGCAAGTAGATAAATAGGTACCACTTCGGTGGGAAGGTAACAGCGTTCCGTGCGCCTTGGTGTTTAGTCATGCCGGCCACATGACCACGGAAACGTCTTCAGACAGTCCTGGCTCTTCGGCTTCGAAACGGAGATGAGCACCGCAACCCTAGAGTCGGATTCGACTGGCTTTCGAGCAAGGGAACCTTTACCTTTAGGAGCTTGTTGTGTGATTGAATTAGGTGTGATATGCAGAGAGGCACTGGGCAGGAGCGACCTCTTCTTTCTTACAGACAGCCTGCTAACCTAAAACTTCTCACCCGCAATGATAAACTACTTAACAGTCACATGGACTCTGGTACCAAGGCCTGCAACAAACCAACTTTGCTCTCAGATCCTAGCAACACCATCAGTGGATCCAACATCAGCCATGCCATCTCAGGTTCATCAATGTGATGATCTATGCCGTCATGCAGGTGGGAGGGGGGGGGTTGTTGCTTTGTTTTGTTTGTTGTTTTTGGGTTTGTTTGGTTTTTATTAAAAAAAAATGTGCCAGAACTCTCAAGTGGGAAATAAACTTTTCAGTTTGTATACTGAAAACTCATAAACTTTTTTTAAAAATTAAAAGAATTTTGTTGAAGAGGTTCTGGAACTAAGTTCCAGTGCGTTCCCCCCCCCCACACACACACACACAAGCCCTGCCATCACATGTAAACAGTGCCCTTCCACCCTCTACATTGGACAAATAGGCCAGTCCCTTCAACAAAGAATTAATAGACATAAGTCTGACATCAGAAATCACAACATTCAAAAAACAGCAGAGGAACATTTTAACCTTCCAGGACATTCAGTTGCTGACCTAAAAGTAGCAGTTATCTTACAAAGGAATTTCAAAGGGAGATTAGAAAGACAGACTGCTGAATTGCAACTGATAACAAATCTCAAGACAGTGCATCCTCCTGGATTGAATTGAGACCTAGTTTTCCTGTCTTCTTACCAATCCTGATTTCTCCATGCCTACTACCTTTCTCTATATCACACCTAATCCAATTACGCCTGCTATTATCATTTGCCTGCTAATGTCATTTGGCATCTGAAATCACTCCACCTTCCAATATAGAGGATAGAGGGACTCACGTTCTAGCTGTATCTGAAGAAGTGAGCAGTGACTGATGAAAGCTCTTACCCTACCACAAATGTTGCTAGTCTTTCATATTGGATAGAATATATACTGCAGAGTAGGAACAGGGCCACCAAATCAAGGGGGTTGCTAACAAACTGATCAAGAAATCATGGAAGTCAAGAACCTACACACACTCCAGTTAGGAATGATGGGCCCTTAACAGGATGCTTGTCCAGGGGTCATTTTGTAGAAAAAGAGGTGCAGGAGCTTATTAGCATAACTCATTAGCATAACTTATCTGCACATGCCACACCCCCTGACATCACCAGAAGTGTGTCAGAAGGCAACAACCACTGCTCAGGCTCCACTAGACTGTTTTGGATTGCTAGCTATGGGGGGGGGGGGATGCACAGATCTGCCCACACAGAGGAGGGAGAACTTGTACCTGAATAAACCTTGGCCTTAAGGGTGCCACTGGACTGTTTTGGATTGCTATCTATGGGGGGGGAATGCACAGATCTGTGCAGGAAGGAAGGAAGGAAAAAAGAGAAGGAAAAAAGGAGAAAGAGGGAAGGAAAGAAGGAGGGAAAGAAAGAGGGTGAGAAGGAAATAAGGAGGGAAATACAGAAAGAGAGAAGACGGGGCTCTGGAGGACTTCCCTGGGCTCTGCGCCTCGCCGGGGGGGGGGCTGTGCAACTTACTTGCTGGTTTTTCCTCCTCGTGGCCTGGGGCTGCTGGGAGCACGGGGTGGGGCTTGTTGCATGTGCCCACCCCCTGGGCTCTTTATTGCCGGAGCTCCGCTCCTGTGTGCTCCTGCAGGGAATGACCCCTGCTTGTCACACAAAAATAAGCTTTCTTCCCTAAACCAACCCCCAAGCCCTAACTAAAAAGCCAAATAAAAGCCTGGCTAAGATGACACTCCTTTCCAGAGCCATTAAATCCCTTTCCAAAAGTTTTTTAAAAGTTTCTTCCCACTCCTTACGCTAGGGTTGCCAGACCCCGGGTCTCAGCAAGGGTTTCCCGATATCAGGGGCTCCTTCCTGCCACCAGTCAGCTGGCCAGCAGGGGGAGGAAGCCCCACTCCAAGCCCCACTCCCAAGACCGACCACCTGTGCCACCCCTACTGCAAGATTTAAAGAGCCCTCCAGCTGATCAGCAGGAGCAAGTGGCCTGTCAGTCAGCTGGAGGGCCCTTTAAATCTTGCAGGAGTGAGGGAGGCAGAGGGTGGCCTCGTGCGCCTGCACTCCAAGACACGAATCTGTGGCTTAGAATGCAGGTGCATGTGGCCTCCCCCACACTTCTTCTGAAAAGCATTTAAAGGAACCCTTTAAATGCTGTTGGGAAGAAGCATGGGCCATGTGCCTGCTCTCCAAGCTGTGAGGTCGTGGCTTGGAATGCAGGGGCGCGTCGCGGGGGGCCCCTAGCTGAGGGGGCCCCCCCCCCCCCCCCCCGCTTCGTCTGAAAAGTATTTAAAAGGAGCCTGTACTCCAAGCTGTGAATTCACAGCTTGGAGTGCAAGCACATGGGGCCTCCCCCCGCTTCTTCCAAAAAGCATTTAAAGGGATCCTTTAAATGCTTTTCAGAAGAAGAGGGGGGTGCCAGTGTCCAACGTGATGATGTCACTTCTGCATGACCTCATCGCAGTGGGGACAGCCCCACCCCTCCAGTAACGCCCCCCAAAGTCCCCGCCAGGGACTTGAAAGGACCTAGCAACCCTACCTTAAGCTGAGGTTGGCTCACCACCCCCCATCCAGTGGGGTTCCATGGGCTCTGATTGGCTGACAATCACTTGGATTTGCATGAGGCCTAAATCACAAGGATTGGTTTAGAGCCCTGGAGGAGAGGTGGGACTTTTATGTATTATTGCCACCAGGGCTATTTTTGGGCAGGAACGCACAGGAACAGAGTTCCAGCTGGCTCTGGAGTTGGCCACGCCCAGCAGCAACTCATTAGCATAATAGGCCACACCCAACAGCAGAAACTCATTAGGATGGGCTACATTAGGGATGTGTAGCCTAACATGCAAAGGAGTTCCTGCTACAAAAAAGCCCTAGGTTTTGACAACAAACAAGGTCAACAGAATAAGAAGCAAAAGGTGGGTGTGGCTGGATGAGCACACTTCTGGTAACATGGGGGTGCGGCCTAATGTGCTAATGAACTGTGCTGGCAGGGGTGTGGCCCAATATGCTAATGAGTTCCTGCTGTTGGGTGTGGCCTATTATGCTAATGAGTTCCTGCTGGGCTTTTTCTACAAAAAGAGCCCTGATTGCCACATTCAC